CAGCTGTGAACAGATGTGCTGGGTGCCTCGGCCGCCTGGTCGTTCACTGGCTGGAGGTTTCCTTGGTGAGACACTGGGGTGGGAGACAGTGGGTGCGGTGTGGGTTTGGCAGTTTTCTGTTGTCTTTCTGATTTGTGGATAACCTCACTGGATGATACAGCACCTGTCGGTGAGGCCTGGAAAGGATCGTTTGAAATCCTTGCTTGGTGGCCTGTTTTCCCTTTTTTTGTTGCAAGGGAGGTCACAGTGTGGCCGCGGCTGAGCCGTGGTGGCTGCCTCTGCCGCCCTCAGCCGCCGTGGCCTTGGTTTTCTGTCGTTACAGCCGGGTCTCCACAGCCACATTCACTTTTCCTTAGTGGGAGCATCCACATGTGATCCCATGCAATCGTGTGGAAGGCCCCCGATTTTGTTGAGCCGATCTGGTGTGTGTTGTGTGTCACCGGAGAACTTGGCGAGAGGAATTATCTCAGTTCCTAGTTTCAGATAGATTGTACAGAACTTTTTCGGATTGGAGCGTGGTAAATCTGGAAGGATGCTTCGACATTACTTTTGACATGTTTCGCTCTATTGGCTTAGTATCTCCCACCTTCCTCACTGATTCTGAGGCCCTCGCCTGGGATCTGATGGGGCCGGCTTTCCCTCCCGCGGGGTCCTCCAATCAGCAAGCGCACTTGTAGCAGGACTTCCAAGTATTACGTTCGGGGTGGGTCTGCTAAAGCCCCAGTAACAGCAGTTTGGTGCCAGAAGGGTTTGGGAGTGGAGGGGAGGCGTTCAAGGGGGCCTGCTGGGTGCTTGCTGTTATCGGCATTTAGATGGTCCGATGGCCCAGGCCATGGGGGGGCTTGGGCATCCCTTACGCCACCACACGGTGTTGCAACGGTAAGCTCGAGGGTGGGCTGCGAGCTAGGGCCCACAGCTAGGGAAATGGATGGAGGCTGGACTTCAGCGCAGGACTCTCTTCTGTGCCTCAGATGCCAGATCCCATCCTGCGTCCACAGCTTTTCCAACCCGGGGCCAAGCTGGCCTCTCTCGTCTGATCTGTTTTCTGTCTGTGGGACTGGGTTAGTGTAGGGTGTATCGTCCAGGCGCTGTGTCTTATGGGCTGTGTGCGTAGCTTCAAGGGGTGTCAGTCTGATGAGAATGTTGAAGTCCCATTCGTGAGCGTTAACATTTATTCCCGCAGACAGCCAGGCTCCTCCTTCTGGGGTTTCTGCCCTTTGTGCAGTGCGTGGTCCGTCACCTGGCAGTGTACCCTGTTTGAAATGATGTTTTTTTTTCCTTTTCTTTTTTGGAGACAGGGACTTACTCTGTCACCCAGGCTGGAGTGCAGTGGCCCAATCTCGGCACACCGCAGCCTTGAACTCTTGGGCTCAAGCAATCCTCCTGCCTCAGCCTCCTGAGTAGCTGGGACTACAGGTTGCACCACCATGCCCGTAATTTTATTTTTTGTAGAGATGGCATCTCTACAAAAGACCAGGCTGGTCTTTAACTCCTGGGCTCAAGCGATCCTCTTGCCTCAGCCTCCCAAAGTGCTGGGATTGTAGGCACTAGCCATTGTACCCAGTCTTTTACTTTCTTTTTCTTAATTAAAATTTATTTTGAAAATATGGACATGTGGCCGGGCATAGTGGCTCATGCCTGTAATCCCAGCACTTTGGGAGGCCGAGGTCGGTGGATCATTTGAGGTCAGGAGTTTGAGACCAGCCTGGCCAACATGGTGAAACCCTGTTTCTACTAAAAATAAAAAAATTAGCTGCGCATATTGGTGCACGCCTGTCCTCCAGGTTACTCCGGAGGCTGAGGCAGGAGAATCGCTTGAACCCGGGAGGTAGAGGTTGCAGTGAGCCGAGATCGTGCCACGGCACTCCAGCCTGGGCAACAGAGTGAGACTCTGTCTCTCAAAAAAAAAAAGGTATGGGTATGCTAGTTTAGTAAACTGACACTTGAAAGCGTAGCTTTCTAATGATTGAAACTTGTACACAGAAGCGGTTAAGATGTTTGAGAGCAATCGAGAGTTGAAGAAGTGTCTGATTTAAAATGTGTTTTTTGAGCTCTTTCAGATTCTCATGCAATCAAAGTTCAAATTCTTCACCAGCATGTGACCACTTGGTAATCATTACTGAGTTTACATTCTTGGAAGATTATCTTTTTTTTTTTTGAGCCGGAGTCTGGCTCTGTCCCCCAGGCTGGAGTGCAGTGGCCGGATCTCAGCTCACTGCAAGCTCCGCCTCCCGGGTTTATGCCATTCTTCTGCCTCAGCCTCTGGAGTAGCTGGGACTACAGGCGCCCGCCACCACGCCCGGCTAGTTTTTTGTATTTTTTAGTAGAGACGGGGTTTCACCGTGTTAGCCAGGATGG